TCCAATCTAGACTAAAATACTCATAACATTACTTTTATGGTAGCAAACAACTGGTCACAAAGTGGCTGCTCGCCTATCTGGGAACAGCTGAACAAACTGTGGTATATGAATATAACAAAATATTATTGTGCAATAAGAAACAACAAATATGAGGGGTGCAGAGAAACCAGGCAAGATATGTATGAGCTAGCAGAAAGAACACTGGTTTGCAAGTCAGAGCACCCAGATTCAAAAAATGAAAGAATTGGATTAGGTAACTTCTGAGGTTCCTTCCAGTGCTAGATCTAGGATCTCATGAAGCAGACTGAAATATGCAGAACCCGAAGAATCTATACAATGTATCTGAAAAGATGCCTAAAAGGAAGCTAAGCCTCTGAGAAACAGAAAAACCAATAATGGTTCCAGAGGACTGAGAGTGACACATCCTTCCTTTCTTTCAGCAAAGAAGTCAGGTATTTTGGGCAGCACTGCTCATGCTGCAGACATAGTCACTGTACTGGGGTTTTTGCTTAACTTTTGGGGGATGGTGGTGGGGGGAGAGACTCCAAGACATAATTCTGACATAATAAACAAAGGGCACCAATAAAATGTATTTTTAAAAACAGCAGATTCGTTCACAATGTAAATCTTTTGCATACAATTGCTTATCGATGATTAAAACTATGGAATGAGGAATGTAGAGATAAATGAACAAAACATAATTATAAAAAATGCATATAATCTATAAACACTCGACTATCACAAGCTTTACAGCTTTTCCTTTGCCAACTATTATATTTTATGTTGTCCTATAAGACAGTATCAGTGAACATATATATTCAGAACTTAAATAACAGGACTGCAGAAATATTAACTTTTGACTCAGTCTTCATCAGTGATATTCTAACCACAGACATGATGACAAAAATCTGAGGCAATGAATAAATCAGGAAATAAATTTGCTGTCCTTGCCCCTTTCCTTCTATTGCTTTGCTCTCTTACTCAACAACTTATTCAAATCTGACTCATTCTTTAAGGTCTCTCCATCAAGGCTCTTCTATAAAATCTCCATTCCCGACTTCATTCCTTAGCTCTCTGCTCTTCCTTGTAAATAATCAAGCACTTACCTGGAGTACTCAACAGAGGTAGAAGGGAATTTCCAGATCATACATTATATATAACATCCCTACCCCCTTTCCAGGGTTGTGGAAATTGAGGTCTAGAAAGGTTATGTAATTTGCCAGAGGTCACACAACTAGTTGGTAGTAAGGCTATACATAAAAACCCTGGTATCTTCTCAAATGAGTGCTCTTCCTTTTATACCTCTTTTATAATTCCTCCTGGAGTACTTATTCACATATTACATATAGATACAGAGCAATCTCTGTATCCTGATTCCACTTTACAGGAATATATTTATCGGAATATCATGGTTTTAGAGCTGAAAGGGACCTCAAAGATCAACCAGATGGGGAACCTGTGGCATCAAGGCCCTATGTGGCCCTCTGGATCCTCCAGTTTGGCCCTCTGACTGAATCCAAACTTCACAGAACAAATCTGTAGGCTTCCCACCCCTGATTCTAGTTTAACTCCCTCATTTTATAAATTAGATTCCTGACAGCCGGAGAGGTAAAGTAACTTGCCCAAGGTCAACGAGCCACTAAGTGTCAGAGCCAAGATTTGAATCTAGGTCATCTGATTGCAAACTGAGCCCTCTTAACTACTACCTTCAATTGTAATGTAAGCTTTTCAAATACAGATACCATGTTTCATAAATATATTTCTTGCAGTCTTAGTATTACATAGATTCTCATAAAAGATATAGGTCTTGAGAATATGTTTTAAAATAGTCTGAAATGAGTTTTTAAACTCAGAAATATAACATTTTCAAAATTAATTTCATAAAAGAAGCCAGATTAATATAATTCTCTCAATTTAACTAGTTTCTAAAATAACTTGTTCTGATTATCAAAACAATCAAACGAAATAAAAGATTCTGACAGCTACATATCTGCCAGTTTTTATACATATGTATGAATGTGAGTGTGTATGTGTGTGTATATATATATATAAATATCTATCTATCTATATCTGTGGTTATTTGTGTCAGATAATATGTACCTAACATTTTCCAAAATGATTATGTGAATGCTAGCTAAATTTGCCCCCAAGAAATTTCTGGCATAGCAGGTTTTAGATTACTATTTCTTTAATATGTGAATAACTCTGATGCCTGCACAATAACTAAATTGCTTACCTAAAACAGCGCCAAAATGAGAGATCACTAAATGTAACCACTCTTTCTTAGTATGATCTCATCCATTCTTCTGATTTCAATTACTACTCCTACATAGATGACTCAAATCTATATATTTTCACAACCTCTCCTCAGTCCTCTAGTTCTATATTTCCATCTCCCTACATCTAAATTGCATCACATATATTTAAATGCAACATGTTCAAAACTTAAGTATTCATAATGTCACCACTCTTTTCCTAATCACTCAGGTTTATAAGTTCAGACACTTCCCCAAACACTGCCTCGCTGATGGCAGGAATTTTATCTTTTTTTCTTCCTTTGTATACCAAGTGCCTAGAACACAGTAGGTGCCTAATAACTGTTGTTGAAGTCCTTCCAATTTTACCTGAAACTCTCTCATAACCATATACTCCTCTCCAATTCTACTGAAATCACCACAGCTCAGACACTCATTTTCTCATGCAGGCTATCACAATGTCCTAGCCATCTTCTTGCTTCTAGTCCATTTCCTTTTCAGTCCAATCATCAGGGTTCTGTCTTAAAAAAATAATCTTCCTAATGCACTGCTCTCTGACAATGTCATTCTTCTATTCCAAAACCTTCAATGGTTCTCCAATGCTTACTATACCAAGGGTAATTTCCTGACCCTAGCCTTCAAGCCCCGGTCTGGCTCCAACTAACTTTCTTGTACTACTATTCCCTTCAAATTAAGGCCATTATTTTTTCCTCATTTCCCACTGCCAAGCCTTTGCTGACAAAACTTCCTTGGCTTTGAACAGATTCCTTCTCTCTTACCACGTTCAAACCCCTTTCACCCCTTCCAAACACCCTGCACCTCCTTCCCAATATCTGTCTCCTGAAGTAGCTCTTTCTAACCAGGCCCAATTCAAGGCCTACATTCCCAATGTAGCTTTCCCTCCCCAACCTTCCCTCCACCCCCAGAACTGATCTTCCCCCCAAAATTCCTCATATCATTTTGACTGAATTGAACCACAGTTATCTATCTCATTCTCCTTTGTTTTAAGAGTTATTTATTTAGTCTTTCTCGCTTCCTGGCCATCTTGGTGGCAAGTCTCTGGCTGAGTGTATTCCCGCACTGCAGGCAGCAAGATGGTGGCCGCAAAGAAGATGAAAAAGTCACTGGAGTCCATCAACTCAAGGCTTCAGCTGGTCATGAAAAGTGGCAAATACGTGCTAGGCTACAAACAGACCCTGAAAACGATCAAACAAGGCAAAGCCAAATTGGTCATCGTAGCCAATAATTGCCCAGCCTTGAGGAAATCAGAGACTGAATATTATGCTATGTTGGCCAAAACTGGTGTACACCACTACAGTGGCAATAACATTGAATTGGGTACAGCATGTGGGAAGTACTACAAAGTATGTACACTGGCTATCACTGACCCAGGTGATTTTGATATCATCAGAAGCATGCCAGAACAGACTAGTGAAACTAAACTGTACAAAAGCATTCTTTAATAAACTGGCCAAAACTTGTTTAAAAAAAAAAGTCATTTATTTATATATTTTCCATTCAATTATAAACTACTCAAGGACACGGCCTATGGCACTAAATATTCAATGTGCTATTTCCACTTGAATGGAATCTCACATATTTACTTACATTTCTGTTAGTATACAGAAGTCTTCCCCAAATTGAATTACTTGGATGAATGGGTTAATCATTTAGAAAGCCAGGGAAAAGTATCATTAAGTAAAAGTAGCTTTGAAAAAACAGCACCTTGAGCTAGCCTAAAATAATATGGTCAAATTAAGAATAATTATAATTGATAAGAATCACATTATATCTATTGTTCATATGTAAATGGCACTTCTAAAGTGCTTAATAGATTTATTCTCCAGTAAATTAAATATTCTTTTTGTACTATTAACTTACTTGGCACAATGTCCTTTTAAAAATTATATTTATCCTAAGAAGTTACAGAACTATGCATATACTTTGACCCACTACTAGGTCTACATCCCAAAGAGATCAAAAAAAGAGAAAAAGGACTTATATTTATAAAAATATCTATAGAACTCTTTTTGTAGAAGCAAGAATTAGAAAATCTTGGGCATCAGAGGATGCCTAGCAAGTGCGAAATACTGAACAAGTTATGATATGTGAATGTAATGAAATACTATTGTGTTATAATAAATTATGAAAGGATGGTTTCAGAAGAACCTGGGAAGACTTATGTGAATTGATAACAAAATGAACAGAACCAGAAGAACAATCTGTATAATAACATCAACACTATAAAGATAATCAACTTTGCAAGACTTAGCAACTCTAATCAATACAATGACCAACCAGGACTCCAAAGGACTCATTATAAAACATGCTAACCACCTCCTGTCAGAGAGGTAGACTCAAAGAGTGAAGATTGTGACATTTTTTATGGACATGGCCAATGCAGGAACTTGTTTTACTTTATTACACATGTTTGTAGCAAAGGTTTCATTTTTTTCTTCTTTCTCAATGAAAGGGAGAACAAAAAGGAAGGAGAGTCTTGGTTAACTGAAAAAAAAAATTAAATCATATCTATCATAATCTTTACCCAAATCACTGGAATTCCAAATTGGCAGGGTGAAAATTATGTAAAATCACTGTATCCTAAATCCACAACATAAAAGTTATACTAACAACATGTTATAATAACAACATAAAAAGGCTGGTTATCCTTATTCTGGTTAGTTATAACTAAATAGCCATCATTATCCTATATAGTAGCAGTGTATTCTCTGAAATGTTTCCTACCTTATACAGGCATGGCCTAGAGATTTGCAAAACTCTTCAATTGCCATTGCTTTTGTCCCATTCATATTAGAAAGATATCCTGGGATGAAAATAACACCTGGGGTTTTGCCTTTTAACTTCTTATAAGCCAGATTTGGAAGGTCTCGTCGATTAAGGAAAGAAAGATTTGTCTTCCACCTGCAAACTAAAAAACAAAAACAAAAACAAACCACATTGAAATATCTCCTTTACCTTGTACAAACATCACTTTACTAGGAATACCTCAAAATATTTTCAAAACTGATAAACATAACTCCTGTTTTGTGCCACACATTCCATGAAACATCAAATAGTTCATTTTGGTTAGAATAAAGAATAATACAAAGTGAGGGCAATAAGAGGTATATTTGAAAAGAGCCAGAATACAGATGACCTAAATGTTAGTCTGCATTAATTTGTATTTTATCTGCTCAGTAAATGGGAATAAATTAAGGATTCTGAGCAAGGAGTTATTGACTAAAGCTATGCATTAATCTGACAATACTACATAAAATGTGTTGCAGTTGGTAAAGAGGTAGGAAACCAAACAGGCCAAGAAAGTGCAACAGTCTAGGTGAAAGGCAATGACAGTCTGAGCTACAGTGCTGGTGAACCAAACCAGAGTGTGAAATTTGTTGTTCCTAGTCAAAAGGGTTTGACAACTCAATGGATGTACAGAGTGTGGAAGAGGAAAATCAAGGATTAACAGCTAGATGGTGCAGCAGACAGAGAGGAAGTATTCCTTAAGTCAGGAAGATTCATCTTCAAGTATTCAAATCTGGCCTCATATTCTTTTATTTATTTATTTTTTTAAATTAATTTATTTTGAATTATCAACAATCACTTCCATAAGCTTTTGAGTTTTAAATTTTTCTCCCTCTTCCTCCCCACTTCCCTCCCCTAGATGGCGTGCAATCTGATATAGGCTATACATACACGTTCCTATTAAACATATTTTCACATTAGTGATGTTGTAAGAAAGAATCAGAACCAATAGGAGGAACCACCAGAAAGAGGAAACAAAATACAACAGAAGGAAAAAAATAGCAACTATTATGCTTCGATCTGCATTCAAACTCCATAGTTCTTTCTTCTTTGTGGATAGCATTTTCCATCATGAGGCCTCTGGAGATGTCTTAGATCCTTGTATTGCTGAGAAGGGCTAAGTTTATCAGTATTAGTCATCGCACAACATGGCTATTATTGTGTACAACATTCTCCTGCTTCTACTCACTTCACTCAGCATCAGACCAAAAAGTCTTTCCAGGTTTTTCTGAAGTCAGCCTGTTCATCATTTCTCACAGCACAATAGTATTCCATTACATTCATACACCACAACTTGTTCAGTTATTTCCCCAATTAATGGGCATCCTCTCAATTTCTAATTCTTTGCCACCACAAAAAAAACTGCTATAAATATCTGTGTACACATGGGTCTTTTTCCCATTTGTATGATTTCTTTGGGATTCAGACCTAGAAGTGGTATTGCTGGGTCAAAGGGTATGCCCATTTTTATAGCCCTTTGGACATAGTTCCAAATTGCTCTCCAGAATGGTTGGATCAATTCACAACTCCACCAACAATGCATTAGCCTTCCAATTTTCCCACATTTCTCCAACATTTGTCATTTTCCTGTTCTGTCACATTAGCCAAGCTGATAGGTGTGATGTGGTACCTCAGAGTTGTTTTGATTTGCATTTCTCTAACAAATAGTGATTTTGAACATTTTTTCATATGACTACAGATGGCTTTAATTTCTTCATCTGAGAACTGCTGGCCTCATATTCTTACTGTCTGTGTGACCAGGGGAATGTAACTTAACCCTGTTTGCCTCAGTTTCCTCATATGTAAAATGATCTGGAGAACAAAATGGCAACCTATTCCAGTGTCTTTGCCAAGAAAACCCTAAAAGGAGTCTCAATGAGTTGGACAAGTCTGAAAACAACTGAACAATGAAGAATAACATCAAATTTTCAAGGTGACAATAGTGCTATTAATAGAAAAAGGGAAGGAAGGAGATTTGGGAAAGAAATTATTTCAGTTTTAGTTTTAGACATGCTGAGTTTGAGCTATGGAAGGACACGTAGGTAGAAAATAAGTTCATATATCTTAGAGGGCAAAGGGCCCTTAGAGGTTATCTAATTAAATTTCCTCATTTTACATATGAGGAGACTGAGATGCAAAGAAGTCAAAAGACTTGCCTGACGTCACAAAAGTAGTAATCATCAGGGGCAGGATGTGAACCCAAATTCTGTAACTCCAAGTTCAGTGCTCTTTCTCTTGTACCACAGTAGGTAATTGGAAATGTGATTGTGGACCTCAGGAGAGATGTCAAAACTGAAAACATGGATTTGGAAATCAACTCCACTGTAAGCTTTAAGAAGATGGCCTACATTTTCTCTTTTTTGTTCTTCAACAGCATCTAATTCAGTATTCAGACACAAAAGAACTTTTGTTGAATGAGTGTCAGTAAAATTTCTCTGGCAATATTAAAAACTGTCTTTGATCTACAAACACTGGTTAAAGATAGGTAATCTTTTATCATGAAACAATTCTTTTCATACTATTCACAAAATTAAAAAGATTTGTGAAATCCATTCAATTCAAAAAACATTTATTAAGTGTTTTTAGTATATGCAAGATATGTGAGTGAGAACAAGAGTGGGGAACCTGGTTCCCCATTGCTGGTCCTAGAGAATATAAAAAAAACAAAAACCCTAAAAACTTAACTATGCTTGCTCATAACGATCTTATATTCTTAGAAAAAATATAACATGTATACAGTATAAAGCAAAACAAAGCAGTCTTAATAGGATGAGAATGCTAACAACTAGTAAGATTAGGAAAAGATCTCTAACAGGTGGTGACACCTAAGCAAGGTAGAGAAAAGGAAGGTGTACAATCCAGACATAAGGACCAATTTATGATTTTTAATACAGAAACTGATACCTTGGGGAAACTAATTCAAATAAATGCTAACATGCTTTGGTTGTTATCAAAGATATCAAAGCATAACATTTGTAAATTTATTTACAAAATATAGGCAATTACAATAGGAAGGTTTAAAAAAAATCTCCCAACATATCCAAGAGTTTGGACTTAATCTAAAAAAAGAAAATTAAGGTCAAGTTGACTGACACCTGGATCCCAGGTTATGAACTGGCTCTAACAGCAGAGCATCAAACTCAACATAAATAACCTGAATAAATTTGCGCGCAGAACATAACGAAAGAAACACCTTTCTCAATTTAAAAACAAAAGGCAGGACACCGAACCTGGGGATCCCAAAACTACTTGACCACTGCTCCAACCAATATTCCCCTCCCTCTCTTCCTTCCTTCTTTCTTTCTGCCAGATTTGAGAAAAAAAAAATTGAAACCTATGGTGCTGAAAAATATGCTAGGACTGTGTGTCTGTGTCCGAGTATGGAACGGTGCTGGGGATTTAAATGTGAACAAGACGCAGAGGGGAAACCCCAGAAATGAAGAGGGAGGGGAAACAGAAAGGGGGGGAGGGGGAGCAGACAGGGAGGGCCGGGAGGGGGAGCAGGGAGGGAGGGGAGTGGAGGGAGAGAGGGGAGCGGAGGGAGAGAGGGGAGTGGAGGGAGGAGGGGAAGCGGAAGGGCCGCTGATACCAAAGGAGGCTCAGATGCGGGTCAGGCCCAGGAAGAGCATGGCGGCCGCTGCTCCTCCGGACACTGACCTGGCAGCCTCTGTGGCGTTCTCTCGATCTTTCGGGAGAGCAACGCCGTGGGGCCGAAAGAGAGAGCGGCAAAGTCCCAACTCTTCCGCCGCACCAAGGCTGCAGCAGGCACCAGCGACCAGGTTCCCGCCATCTTCACTGCAGCCCAGCCCCCTCCCCGCGCCTGCGCCCTTTGATCCCCGCGTACCGCGCAGGGGGAGGGGGCGGGGGAGCGTCCTCGTGGTCGCCTCTGGGTCTCTACGTGAGACCCCTCTCCTCTCCCGGGCTCTGCCGGAGCGCTCCGCCCCTCCCACTCCCCGAGGAACTGATTACCAGGGCGACCTCCGACCCCGGAAGTCCTGGGTTCAAATTGGGACTACTACACTGAAGGCTGTGTGACCCTGGGCAACTCGCTAGAAGGCGCTTCCTCTCCGGGGTGTTCCCGTATAAATCACTGGCCAAATTACTTTCAAATTTGCATGGACCATCAGGAGAGTGTGTGTGTGTGTGTGTCTGTATGGCTGTATATCTCAGTATATGTGTGTTCGTGTATGTGAGAGGGGAAATATGAGTGGAACATTGTGTGTGTGTGTCTGTGTGTGTGTATGTGAGAGGCTTGGAATGCCATGTATGTGTCAGTATTTATGTGTGTCTTTCTATGTGTGTATATGTATCTGTATGTGTGTGGAGGGGAGACAAAATAACAGTGAATAAAAGCAAAGAGATCTGACCTGGGAAATCAGTATGAGGCGGGATTGTCCGGCAGGAGATAAGAGGGCCTTAAGTCCAAAGCTAAGAAGTTTGGGCTGCGTTCTATGGTCAGTGGGTTGGCATTGAGCTCCTATTGAGTTTTTGACCAGGGAAAAAAGTCAAAGTGGTACATTAGGAAGGTTCTTTAGCAACTCCTCAATCAGGTCTTCCAAACCTTTTTTTTTTGTTTTCTAAAACTCCCAACTCTTACTTCTGTCTCTAGGCAAATACCTTGTCTTCAGCTCTACAGATAAGATTGAAGTCATTTGATTGGGAGCCTCCTCTAGAACATTAAATCTACTCCCTCTTCCCTCTTGTTCTTTTTGTTTTCAAAGAATAAGGTGGCCCTTCTCTTCACTGATAATAATCCCCCCACACACACACACGGACTTACTTGTACCCTTATTCTTCTTGCTCCATCATTGCACCTCTGACACCTAACAATGCATTATGCCCAGTAGACCCTTAATAAATGCTTGTTCATTTATTTACTACATAGCACAGATGTCTTAGCAATGATTTAAAATTACCAAATTACCAATGGTGTCCACTTTACCTACCACAAGAAAGTAAGAGGAATCTCCAGATGCTTCTGGTTTGGAGATGGCATTTTTCTGATTGCAAGGAGTGCTAGCACACCCCAGAGCCTTAGAGTGATCTGTGGTCATTTGAAAGAACTCAGCCTAGCCATCCATACAAATAAGGTGGATGAAAAATGTATTTTGCCAAATGCCATTGGGTGGGAACCCCATTGAATCAGTCCATATTTTACATGTGAGTAGATGTATAGTATGGGAGTTATCTTGGAGTCAGTTGCATGTATTCAGTCAAGCTATCTGGTTGTCGTAACTAAGATCAGCATTATTACTAACACACGCACACACACACATTGCTATTGAAACAACCTCAAGGTATTTAAACAAGGAATTGGCCATTAAAAATAGGAAATGGATAACAGAAATTACATCAGCGTTGGCTATAATATTGTTTAGAAGTTTAACCAGTGTAAAAAAATTTCTACAAGAAGAAGACCAAAGGATGACAGAAAGCGCATTACTCAGCAAATATCTAACTTAGCAAGTGGTGAGTAAGCACTATGGGGCTGCCATAGGCAATACTTGATTAAGAATATGAACATGTTTGTAAAATCTTATGAAAAAGGATGGTGGAGGATTATGAAAAGTAAATAAAGCAGAAAGAAGTCATGGAAGGTAAAACCAGTTTAAAGATAGTTTGGCATATCTAAGCAAAGTGAAGGACATTTAATCATAAAAATGAAAGTAGGGCTTTTTTGTTCATTTGTTTCAGTTGTGTCTGTCTCTTCTTTGGGGTTTTCTGGGTAAAGATAAAACTAGGGTGGTTTGCCATTTCCTTCTCCAGAGCCTTTATGGAGACAAATAGGGTAGTTAAGTGACTTGCCCAGGGCCACACAGCTAGTAGGTGTCTGAGGCTAGATTTGAACTCGACCCAGTATCTATCTACTGCAAAGTACAAACAAGAAAAAAAATGGAAAAGATTCGCAAAAAACATTTTAACAAATTCTTTTTTCCTGTCAATGATGGTGGAACCTCCACACTTGCACCTTAACATCACGATCAGGTGTATGCTTGTAGAGGAGTTGGAAATGAGACTAACCCAGAAAGGAGGGGAGAAGTAGCTTGATTGGGCTATGCATATTTATAGATATATTTCAAAAGTGACACAATTGTGAAGGCATAGCTCTGAAGGAAGAGAAGATATCACAGTAGGAAAACAACTTAGACCTTTTTAATACTCCCCCAAAAAGGCAATTGAGAAAACATCAGTTGCTACCAACCTATAATCCTGTTCTCCCATCTATACAAAATCTTTGAGAATTATCTCAAACGTAGCATCAATGAGGATATTAGGGAACAAGCAGTATTTCTTAATCAATAATCAATAATTAACTACATCTTTACTATTTCACAATTAACTGAAAGATATAGAGAATATAAGATTAATTTAAAAATTGATTTAATTGAACAAAACACTAGAACAAAATAGAACAACAACAACAAAAAAATCCAGGCTCTTTTACAAGATAATTTTCACCCACACATTAAGATTATTTGAGATTCCTTAAAAGGTAGAACAATAGAAATAACCCTGTCGCATGACCCTTTGCAGATATATCTGTAAGCTTGGCCAAAGGAATTCATCACTGTGATGGGGGAGATCCATTATGGAGTTTAAATTGAAGTATTCCTTAAGGACGGTGAGGTCCTCCTGATGCTTCTGTCTGTAGATGACACATGCTGATGGCATTGACACCTTAACATCGCAAAGCCTCATGGGAGAGATCTGCAACTATTTAAAGAAGATTTGCTTGACCATCCTCACAGGAACAACTCAGTAGGTGAAGAGTGGCTACTGTCTAGATTATAACAAATTTGGATGGGCAGACTGTAGTAGAACTTGAACATTGGGAATGGGATGGACAGTACAGATGGACAGTGAATTAAATAGAGGAGAGCAGGCTGGACTAACTTGGGGAAACTATGAGCCTCCTTTAATTAGCCTAAGCTTTCCGTGAGGTTCATATTTTAATGCCATTTTAAAAAATCATTACTATATGATAGCATGACATGGAATAAACAGCCTTCAAAGACTTGAAAGTGAATGTCACAGAGGGCAATAAAGATATATGGATTTGAGCAGACTGTACTATATAATCAATGAAGAACTCCAAAGAAGAACAGGAATAAGATAGTCATTAACAAATTACGTGACAGAGAAGATGAGCTGTTCCTTGGTGAAGGGCAAGAGATAACAAGTGGACAACCAGTGGTACCCCCGCAATATCAGGAGAAAGCAAGGCAAGGATTTCAGAATGTTGAGAGGACATATATATACATACATACATACACACACACACACACACACACACACACACACATATATATATATATATATATATATATATATATATATGTATATATATATGTATATATATATATATGTAGGTTGTTTGGCTACAGATATATATATATATATATATATATATATATATATATGTATATATATATATATATGTAGGTATGTTTGTTTGGCTACAGATATATACATATCTAAATCAAAAAAATCTTCATTTGCTTTGTCCATCCCATGAAAGCTATCACCCTAGTCTTTCATGGCTTAGCTCCTCAAGAAGGTCATCCATAACTGGTGCCTCCATTTTCTTTCCTTTCAATCTCTCCTTAACTTTCTGCAATCCAATATCACTATTCAATTGAAATTGTTGTCTTTCTCTCTCTCTCTCTCTCTCTCTCTCTCTCTCTCTCTCTCTCTCTCTCTCTCTCTCTCTCTCTCTCTCTCTCTCTCTCTCCCTCCCTCTCTCTTTCTCCCTGTCTGTCTCTCTCCCTCCTCATCTCCACCTCCAGGTTTCTGTAGCTTCCTTCAAGTCCTACCTAAAATCCCACCTTTTACAAGAAACTTTTCCTGACGCTTTTAATACTAATGCCTTCCCTCTGTTGATTATTTCCAATGTGTCCTGTGTTTATCTTGTCTGTACATAGTTGTTTTCATATTGTCTTTCTCATTAGATTGTAAACTCCTTGAGAGCAGAGACTATTTTTTTACTTTTTTGGTATCCCCTTAGTACTTAGCATAGTGCCTAGCATATGGTAGGTAGGGGGAGGGGAATCGAGCATTTATTGAGGGCCTACCATGTAATGCACCCTGTGCTAAGAGCTTCACAAACATCTCATTTGGTCAAATCAAGGTGCTTAAAAAATGCTTGTTAACTTTACGCTTTCAAAGTTACCAGTGAACTCTGTGTTGAAAATTTAATGGCCTTTTCTCAATCTTTATCTTTCTTGACCCCTTGATCATCCTCTCCCTCTTGATAATTTCTTCATGACATTGCTGTCTCCTGGTTCTCCTACTACCCATCTGAGTGCTCCTTTTCAATCTTCTTTGCTGCTTGTTCAACCAGGTCATTTCTGATAATTGTTTGTGTCCCATAGGGCTCTATCCTGGGCCCTCTTCTCTTCTCCTTCAGTTATACCTTCCACATCATGAATTTCCCCATCATGGTTTTGACATATTGCTGGTCGACATAAGAAAATAGAGAGTTTTGTGGAAGCCGCAGACAACATGAAAAGGCCAGCAGATGACACAGAAAAAGTTTAGAAACTCAGAAACACATGAAACATATGTATAGTATTGTATTTATTTTATCTTTTAATATACAAACAGAAGGCCAAAAATTTTTACATGGATTTTTCAGATTGTTGGGGCACCATAACTGTCTTCATAAGGAAGGGATAACTACATAGCATTTCATTCATGGATTCAATTATCTCTCTGCTGATTCTCAGATTTACTCATCTGGCCCTAACCTCTCTGCTGACTTCCAGTCTCACATCTGCAACTGCCTCTTGGACATCTTGAAGTGGATGGCCTGTAGACATCTTACACTCAATATGCCCGACACTGAATTCACTATCACCCAGTCACCTTCTTCCTTCCCCTCTTCCTAACTTCCCTATTACTTTCAAAGGCACTACCATGCTGTCAGTCACTGAGGCTTGAAATCTTGGTGCCATCTCCCTTCTCTCCT